CTTTTCTGAACCACCACTGGCGCACCATCAAACAAAGGGCAATGCAAGTATTGCTAGTCAGCTTGGGCAATGAGAGCAAATCGAGGCGGCAGTCAGGGCAGTCAGAAAAGTGTCAGGAGAGCTACAGGGTGCAATGAGGGGCTCCTGCACGAACCCGGAAATTCAAAGCGCCTTGCACAAGCACAAGGAGGCTTCGAACGTCTAAAAACTAACAACACTTACGGAAACAGGCAATGAAGTGTGTTCGAGACAAAAAAAAATTTGGATGAGCAGTTGGCCGCCCCGAGGCAAGTGCTTCTGCTTCCTGAACAGCGAACCTTTGCAGTCAAGGGTCATTCCATGCTGCCAGAGGACTCAGCAAAGAAGATGGCGAGAATAGTTTCACCAGGCCCTTCACAAGGTATCGCGAACCTCGGCTGCTCATGTTGCTGGCTCGCGCACAATGTATGCCGTCCGTTACAGTAGTACCATTCCTGGGCTGCTTGGGTACCAAGCATGCCCCAAGAAGGTAGGTGAGCATGATTGGCAAACACCTCTCTGCCATGACACAGTGCAACCCACAGCTGTTCCATGACATAGCTGAAGACAACTTGCGTTGCATCCCCAAAGCCACTGGCTTTCTGGAGTCTACGTAGTGCTGCGTGCGAGGAACCGGCCCAAAGGAGCTTTGTAGATTTGGACGAAGTCCCTGAAGCAAAATCTTCCTGGCAAGCTCTTGCTGCACCATGTGCTGGCCAACACCTCCACAACAAGGCAACACATATTCCCGAATTTGATTTCGGTCCTGCTCGACACATGCCACCTTCAGTCCTCTAAGTTGGGCCTCGAGAGCCACGCCGGCACCTGTCTTAGCAGCTTGTCTGCGCGCATGAGGGGAGCCACAACTGTTCCGGACCTGTCGCCCCACCACCAACCACCAGTATGTCAAACTCCTCTCCGCCCGCAAGCCGCTGCATCTGCTCTGCGCGCGTAGGCACTGGTTTTTCTTCGATCGTCCTGGCATGTGGCAAACACCAAAAGAGTTGGGACTCAGCCTACGAAAATGCCGGAGGCGGTCCTGACTTTCTTCTCCCGGTCCTGCACCACCGCATGCTGCTGGTGAGTCCCAACTACTTAATTTCTGATGAAAATACAGTCCAGTTTTCGTGGCTGTAAGATGAAAGTGGAAAACGCTCTGCTGCCTGAGATCCACAAAGACTCAGGTCACCGGAGTCACCGTGGCTTTGGGGTTGAAGATTTGCCGTGTACGGAGGCTGTCGGCTTTAGGGCTTTGGGGTTTGAGGGAGGAAGAGGTTGTTGGACTATGGCTGAGCGGCGCAACATCGCATGGCTCAGGGCAGTTGAAAGCTGCAGGGAACTTTAGCCGATAGTGAGGGGTTTCTAGGCATCAGCGTAGCTTTGGAAGGCTTTATCTATGGCTTGAGGGTTTTGGTATTCGCATGTGCGGGAGGGTTGCAGGCAGGTTGGTTAAAGCTTCAGATCAAAAAGACTTAAAAAGAAAATGTTATCAGCATTTTCAGGCTTGAGGGTTGACAACCTTTCTGACTATCTGGGCACTGCCCCCATTTGTACAAGTTGGGCACCCTGGCTGTGGGATCGCTCCAGCTTTAACATCGATAGCCTGAATAAGCTTCTTTTTGCAATGGATGCATCCCGTTTTCTTGCTAGGTCCTTGGCAACATGACTCCTTGAGTCAAACTGCAAGGCCTTGGCATTCTAAGCTGCCTGAACACAAAGAACAAAGCCCACAATCTCTTAGAGCTGCGTTCCTGCAGTTCTACCAGATTCTGGACACTGACCCGTTTCCCGAAACCCTTCCTTCCGCGCCGACCTATGCCATAGCCTACACCTGCAAGACCTTTGTTTAGCCCAGGGCTGGCGTAAAACTCTGACACAGTAAGCTGCTAAAGCCCTGAAAGCAAATCTGAACCTTGAATCGCTGAAGCGGACCCCCACCCTGGACGTCGTTTGCATCTAATGCCCCTTGAACCTCAAGCTGTCAGACGTTGTATGAAGGCAGTCCGAAAACTGTCAAGTGATGCATCTGGGGCTTACCCTGAGACTCAACCTCCCCTTTAACACATGAGCCGCAAACGAAGGTGTGCATGCACGAAACCTCATGAAGTCCTGGCGCTTCTTCTCACTGCTGTATGAGAAGGTGGCCACGCCCACTCCTGCAGCGCCCAACGCTCCGGTGGCCACCAGCCTCGATTCTCTCGGCTAATTTGACTCACTCAACTTCAAGGCTAACTGCCAACTAGTCGCAGCCGACGCCTCCATTTCGAAGGAGCCGCGACCTCGCACGACTATCTCGCAAGAAGGTCGCTTTCTGTAGCATGCGAAGCAACCACAGATGCCAAAGGGGTCATTGTTCTAGCTGCCTGCTGGGAACGGCTCCTTCAATGCAACAAGGCGCTTTCGCCACAGCCACTTGGAACCGATGGGGCTGCCCAGACCCGGAAACGTGCGCTTGGTGTATTGTAGGGCTGGCCACCTTTGAGCACTTGCTCTGGCACTGCAGGGGTGTGGCAAACACGCCTGCTTAGGTGTTTTGCAACGCCGGTTGGGCTCAGACGACAGTAGGATCCTTGATTGGTACGGTTTGCTCAGGAAGTTGTTTCTCACCGGCCGCTGCTTACTGTTTTAGCTCACGATAGGGTTGTTTCTTCGTGGGTTTTGTTTCAGCTTTAATGGATCCAAGGGTTCAGTCCATGCACTTTTGTTGCAGTGGCCTTGAGGCCTCCTGCGGACCCTGGACGTGCACTCACAGGGGCCCACGTCCATGTAAGCATCATCATCATCACCATCATCATATCAGGCGCTTTTGCAACCAGATCCGCTCGCTGTGTGCAGACTTTAGGGAGGCCGAAAGAGATGTGGGGATGGGGATGCACATGGAGTAACAAAAAATGTAATAGTGGTTCTGCCCTCAGTTGCTTCTCAGTTGCTGCTTTGTGGGATAAACTTGAGCGCAAGGAGCTGGTGTACACATTTGACAGCCATCTTCGAGGCGGAGGTACGTTGAAACATGAGAGCCATGATGACAACAGTAAGGTTTGTCAAAGCATGTGCCAGCTGTGGTTGGTATCGTTCGTTCCCATAATACGAGTCGAGCCTCCAATGGTCCTGGGCCTTCACTCAGCTCTCACCCGTCAGCGCCACTGAAAGCCCCAGGATGCGTAGATACTTGCTCAGAAGCTCCAGTGAAGGGTCATCCAGCACATCAGGACACTCAAACGCCGGCGGCAACACTCTGAAAAGGTCCAGCGCCTAGTTCATAATGTGGGGAAAGCAGTCCCCACCTAGCAGAGCCTTCTACATCAACGAGATCCTCGTTCTGAATGAACCCTGCCAAAACGCATGATGAGTTTCGAAATTCATCTGCGGCTGCGGTGCCTTGAGTAAGTTTCCCGAGCGAAAGGCTCTTTTCTCTGGATAAATGCCGCAACATCCAACACACACGAGTTCCACCCTACGGGCATGGCAAAACTGGGTTTTTCAGTTAGTGTCCTACTCAAGTTTGGAGGGAATGCAAGAACCTGGCGAAGCTGCATCAGAGTCAGCCTCTGTCAAGTTGCAAACTAGCCCAAAGGTGTAATCAAATCAGGGAAGGCTACGAACGACAATACTCATGGCTTACCTAAAGAGGGCAACCCAAATCATCAGACTCGCTGCACTGGCCAATCGCCTCAATACAATACCCATCTCATAGTCCATCATCGAGCAGCTGAGAAACCAAACCTGAAATTACCCCAAGCCGTCTGCAGCAGCAAGTTGCTGGAAGTCCGACACAACAAACTAGGGCACAGTCAAACCCTTAGAAAGCTGCATACGGAAATAATGAAAAAGTTAAGTTCAACGGTTGCAGTAATCCCGTTTGCCATGGTCGTGAAGAATGTTGAGCCTTTGATGGTCATTAATTAAATGTAGTTAGGAAACAAATGCAACTGTTCCTGTTAAGAGTACAAGGAAGGACGCGTTTCCAGCAGCACCGCCAAGTCACACATTCGGCTGGGTTCCATGGTTCCCGTTTCAGGGTAGTTACTAATCCGTTCCCCTCCCGCCAAATTAACAATAATACCCTCCCTGCGAATATAAAACACGGGTTCCCCAGAATTCCAAATTCTGAAATCTACCCCCAAGACTGCTTTTGAAAGGGTCAAACCTACAGTTAATTGAGGCTCGGATCCTCTGAATTGGCAGGGAGGTCCCTAGCATGACTCTTAAGGATTAGGAATCTCCCTGATTTCCTGGATTTTGTTTTTCAATGGATGTAATATAAGAAAAAGCTGAACCTTCTTATCTTAATTGGGTTTCTTGTGGTTTTAAATCGTGCTAAGTAGATTCTACTTGGATGTTCCTTAGAAGCTAGTCAGTTTTAATACCTAAAGCTAATTTTAAACTGGTGCTATGTAGTAGATGTTAGTTAGAGTTCAATGGCTTTCAATTTGATTTTCATTGCTTATTACAGCTTAAAACGATTCAATCCGTGTTTTATTCGATTTAATCGTTGTTTATTCGATCTTACTTGGATTTCAATCGAACTCAGTGTATATCGCCCCAAGTGTTTGGATCGTACAATAAATATCCCCCTCGACCTTCACTAGGGTTGGAGAGAGGGGGGCCTGCGATCTCAGGCGGAAAGGATTGATTGCTTCAGAGATCTTGCCAATCTGACTTGCAACAATGTTGTGATCTCCCTTGTTGGCTACAATTTCTTGTCCACCCTCCACGCGGGTTCTGGTAGATCTCTGAATATCTCTGAGACTAAAGCCCCTGTGGGCCAGAAGCCGCTCCGACCCGCGTTCCTGAGAGTTTGCAGCTGGCCTCGGCCGTAGCGGAGAACCTGCGACCAAATCTCTGCGAGATGGGTGCTGCGCGTCGCAGCATGGCAGGGAGCGCCGCACGCACCTTGCCCAAACAAATCTGGCAAAGGCGCATCACTCCTGACAGCTTGCCGCCAAGATGCAGTGCGGCCTCTTGAAGCCAAAGACCAAGAGGCTGGGGTCTAAGATCTTGCGTAAGATCTTGAGGAGCCAAAGATGGCATGAAGCCGGCAGTCACAAGGCAGTCATCAGGCAACAGGAAATTTGCCACTGATGGCACCTCTTGAGTAGCAGCGCGCAGTGCACTCTGCGAATCTCTGCAGCACCAAGGCAGGTACAGCAAGTGACTGCAGAGCGCTTTCTGCTGAGAGCCAGCCTTGCCTTCGGGTCAAAATGGAAAGCTACTGCTGCTCAGCCCCCCACAAACCTGCCTGCCGGCAAGCACGGTGTCCAAGAGGGCCTTGTCCAGCACAAGATCGAAGCGATTCGACCAGTCCTTCTGTTGCGTTATTTTTTACTGTTGGAGATATTGCGGTAGACAGGCACGAATACAGCAAGAGCGGTGAGTTTGCAGTCCTACTCATGGTCGCACAATTCCAAGACTCCATGTCCCATTAGCGCAGTCAACTCTCTGCGACTCTTAATGCAACAGCAGTTCCTGCGGCAGGCTGCCAACATCGGCAACCTCAAATTCCATGGTTGCCTGTGGCAAAGCAGTGGTCGCAATTGTTGGGGGGCAAGCCAAAGCCAACAAAAGCGCAGAATGGTAGCCTGTCACGGCTTTCAATCAAGCTCATGGAAAGATCAACTAGGTCATGGCTAGTAGCGGAAGACACACACAAAAGACAGACACCACAGCTAGATGAGGGATGAACAAACCCAACAGCGGAGTGGTGTTGTTTCATGGTGAGGCGGCAGAGGACGAGAAGAATGATTAGCAGATTAGCACGTAAGTGCATGCAAGCGCGATGTTGACCCATCGCGGCCTTAAGAAGGAGATCAAAGGCGTGCGGCGTTGGCATTTTCATGTTACTCCCCCACATAGCGAAATGAAGCCGTGGCATTTCACCTTAAGGCGAGCAGAAAGCAACAAGACGCAAGAAGAGAGCAGACGACAAATTTGGAAAAGACAGGAGAGGATGTGGACAATCAGGAACGGCGGGGATGCACATCATTAGTGATGCAGGTGACTGCTGAGGGGATGTCAGCGATGACAGCGGCCAGAATGATACCAAAGCATCGATGATGGATGGACATTTTTCTTGCCATCCAGCAAACAGGGAAGGGAGCTATGTCGCTTGGAGGCATAGCTAAAACATAGGCTGCGCTCGTGTACAGGAATTACCGTACCTCAAGTCATCATAAACATGGGGCCTAGTCAGGCTACCAAGTTCGCAAAGTAAGCAAATCGCGCACAGTCCGCTATGTAGGCTTCTCGAAGCATTGCACTGAGATCCCAGAGCGCAAGATGAGACTCCGCTCTCTACAAGATGTGCGTCACTTCCTGAGTGTCGCATGGAGAGGAAATCAGATTTAGGCTGGACGTCATACATATCTGAGTTGCCCCACGCCTGATGAAGCATGCACCCATGCTTTTCCGTCAGGACTGATGAAAACCGTACCGGGATACGTGAGAACCGCGTATTGATCACCGGTGACAAAGACGATGCCCTAAGCCCTGGCCAAGCGTCGATAATTCCTTGATGGTGGCGGTTCATGATGCAGTGCGGGCTGCTTATGATATGTGACGCAAGTGGTCAGCCTTGGCTTATCATAAAGTCTGAGGCGCGACGGTGATCGCATGGGCAGTGCACCCTGTAGCGCGTTTGCACCCGCTACCAAGAGTTGCTCAGCAACTACTGAATGAATGAGTGAGTGAGTGAGTGGGGATGATGATTAGCACAATGGGATTAAGGACGGTGACCAAGACAGCAACGAAAATCCTCTACTCCGTTCGCGCTCGCCCAAAAGCTTCGACTCCTACGAAATGTTCAATTCACCCCTCTCCCCGCGAGCGGGTCAAGATCCCATTACAACTGTGGCCCAGTGCCGAGGGAATGCTCACCAAACAGCGTACGCCCGCGCCAAATTCCCCATTCTGGCGGTTGCCTTGCAGCTTCCCAAAACCCAGACAAAGGTAAAGAAAATCGTGGAAGGAATCGCTGAGCGGCTAAGGCTCCCCGGAAGGCAGTTGATCCAAGAGTTAAAGAAAATTAACTCCTGAGTTAATTGCCCGGGTCCGGCACTTTGGCAATCCAGAACAATTAAATCCTGATTTAA